GACACCGAAACAGAGGTCCATGAAATTGAAGATGCGCTGCATCAGGTCTCCCCAAGTAGGAGAAGATTCACCTCTGAATCTGGAACATCATTGTCACCACGAAACCACGAAAGTTACTTCACATTGAAGACATCGGAAGTGTTAATGTGCGGCGGAAGCTGTACTCTGTAAGCGTTAGCATTGACCCGTTCAAGCATCTCCACTGGTCCTATCTTGCGAGACCGAAGCTTGTTGTAGACATGAGCAGGAAGACTATCCTTAGTCATCATGACCCACACCATGTCACCCGATTCAAAAAGCAACTCACAACGTTTGCGATCAGCACGAGCTTTGTATGTCTGCGATGAAGACTCCAAATTCTGGGCAACCACATGATGAACATCCTGCAGTGAAGTCACAAAGTCCGAAGCTCCTCCATGCATCCTCGTACGATCAGGTAATGGAGCCAAATTCAAAGGACAACGAGGAGTCATTCCATACACCACACTAAAAGGACTAAACCCAGAACTTCTGTTTGTCGCATGGTTATGTGCAAATCCTGCTTGACACAGCTTGGATTCCCATGAACGAATGTTCTCACCCACCAATGATCGTAGCATATTTCCCAATGATCTGTTGACCACTTCTGTCTGGCCATCCTTCTGTGGGTGGTATGCAGTGCTCATATCTAAACTTGTCCCCAAAATCTTCCAAAGCAACCTTCAGTAGTGAAACCATTACTAGTTGATGACATGCACAATTGCGCTGAATTAGTTTAAGAAAAAATTAGAAAACTCACCCAAATAAAATTATAATTTGAAAATTAGACTATTATTTCAATTTTTAAAAAATACATTTATGTATATATAAATTTACCAAATTACTTAATCTTAATATTTCTTGGTTTCTAATATATATATATATATATATTATCACTAGCAGATGCCCCGCACAATTGCGTGGATTTATTTTAGTAAAAGTTTAATGAAATACACTCAAATAACACTATAATTTGAAAATTAGACTATTATTCCAATTTTTAGAAAAATACACTTATATATGCATATATAGATTTACCAAATTACTCATTCTTAATATTTCTTGGTTTCAAATATATATATATATTTAAATAATTAAAAAATCGTTACAGAATTTACATAATATATTTTCACTAGTTCTACACAATATATTTCTGATATCTTTTTAATATATCTTAAAATTTTTATTATTTTGAAAAATTAAAAAAAAAAAACTCAAGACCCCGTGGCACAGCGTAAGGATTCAAAACGAGTTTCGTTTAGTCGAACAATACCCGAAAATCGATTTGGTTCTTGTTTTTGTTGATTCACTCGAGAATACCGAAGAACAAGCAAAGAGAAAGTTAAAAGCTCTGAATAAACTCAATAATAATCTGCCTAGAATCGTAACAAGGCTTGCGTTTATAAATACGCTAACCAAATCAAAGATCCTAACTTACACCTAAGTAATGTTTATCTAAGACAAAGGAATTAAAATAAAACCAAAACCAAAGAACGCATAAATAAAATAACTGACCAAAGGCCCATCAACACAACTGTATGCTCTGTTTTGGACACCGAAACAGAGGTCCATGAAATTGAAGATGCGCTGCATCATGTCTCCCCAAGTAGGAGAAGATTCACCTCTGAATCTGGAACATCATTGTCACCACGAAACCACGAAAGGTACTTCACATTAAAGACATCGGAAGTGTTAATGTGCGGCGGAAGATTTACTCTGTAAGCGTTAGCATTGACCCGCTCAAGCACCTCCACTGGTCCTATCTTGCGAGAACGAAGCTTGTTGTAGAAATGAGCAGGAAGACTATCTTTAGTCATCACGACCCTCACCATGTCACCCGATTCAAAAAGCAACTCACAACATTTACGATCAGCACAATTCTGGGTAACCACACGATGAACATCCTGCAGTGAAGTCACAAAGTCCGAAGCTCCTCCATGCATTCTCGTACGATCAGGTAATGGAGCCAAATCCAAAGGACAACGAGGAGTCATTCCATACACCACACTAAAAGGACTAAACCCAGAACTTCTGTTTGTCGCATGGTTATGTGCAAATTCTGCTTGACACAGCTTGGATTCCCATGAACAAATGTTCTCACCCACCAATGATCGTAGCATATTTCCCAATGATCTGTTGACCACTTCTATCTGGACATCCGTCTGTGGGTGGTATGCAGTGCTCATATCTAAACTTGTCCCCAACATCTTCCAAAGCGACCTCCAAAAATCGCTCAGGAATTGCGTGTCACGGTCGGAGAAAATCGACGATGGAAGACCATGCAATCTATAAATCTCGATGAAGAAAAGTTGAGCCACATTAACAGCATCCGTCGTACGTTTGCAAGGAATAAAATGGACCATTTTTGAGAATCGGTCCACTACGACGAAGATCGAATCGTTCCTTTTCTGAGTACGAGGCAAACCCAAGACGAAGTCCATGCTCAGCTTGGTCCATGGTTGGGTAGGAATCAGTAAGGGAAGTTATAGACCTGCATTTGAAGCTTGTCCATTCGCGAGCTGACACGCTCTATAACCTCCACATATCGCTCGACATCTCTGCGCAAGCTGGGCCAGAAGTAGGAAGCTGTGATGAGCTGGAGCGATCTCTCATGCCCAACATGTTCCTCTTTATGCAGTTCATCAATGATACGCAATCTCAAGCTGCAATTAGGAATACACAAATGCGACTCTTTGAAAAGAAGCCCATCAACAATTGCAAAATCCTCTCTCTGTTACGAGCTTTCACATCAGCCCATATCTTCAACAAAGAAAGGATCAGATTCATACAAAACTGCAAAAGAAGCAAACCCTGACACCATTGCGTGCATTATAGTAAGGAGGCTATGTCGGCGACTCAAAGCATCAGCAAACCTATTAAGTTTTCCAGCTTTGTGTTTTATGGTGAAAGTGAATAGCTGTAAGTACGCTATTCAGTTTGCGTGTCGTGCTGAGACTTTCACCTGGCTGTCAAGGTGCTTAAGAGCGTCATGATCTGTGAAGATCACGAAATCACGATGAATAAGATAGTGACGCCAGTGTCGAATTTCCTGGACCACAACATAAAATTCGACGTCGTAAGTGCTGTAACGTCCCCTCGCTCCTGATAATTTCTTGCTGTAAAACGCTACTGGTCGAGAATTCTGGCTAAGAACAGCTCCAATACGAGTTTATATGCTTCTCAAAGGTGAGGGAAAAATCTGGTAGTACCAGAATGGGAGCCATTGTGAGCTTTTCCTTGATGATCGCAAATCTAAGCAATTAGATGTCCGACTTGGGCTTATATGACATGACTGATCAATAGAAATACTTCAACACTCCAGTTTCCTCCACGGCAGGAGTCCATGAGAAGGTGGATCCTCTCATACAGTCAGTGATAGGCGACATAATAGTGCTAAAGTGAGCCACAAAGCGCCTATAGAACGATGCTAACCCATGAAAGCTTTGTAACTCCGATATTGTTGTAGGAACTGGCCATGTACGAATTGCATCAACCTTACTGTTGTCCACGAAGAGGCCGTTGGTAGAGACCACATATCCCAGAAACAGAACACTCTGTACTTCCACGATTTTACTTAGGTTTTGGTTAATTACAAAATATGTACAAATCAAATACTTTAAAACCGAAGAACCAATTTTACTTATGTTTTAGTTACACAATAGGTATATATCAGGTACTTTAACCGAAGAACCGAGTGAGACCCAAACCCAAATCCAAATACAAAATAGGCTATGTTTTGGGTTGTATCGGTTCTCTAAAGATTTACGAACTACGGCCCTAAACCGATAGAATCTGAACCGGTCCCAAACTAAGTTTTCATATAATCCGAATGGGATTAATTTTGATAAACCCAAAAAACCGAAACTCAATTGGGATCCTGAGTGTCCATGCCTAATTGTAGCCACCCTGAACCAAGCAGCAACCAAAGCAGGAGTCGCTCAAGATTCTTTTATGTTTCTATATTTTCTAATAATTTAACTTGTAGGATGATTTATGGAAATTGCGTTTTTTATTCTTTGAAAATAAAATAATAGTTTTGCGCTCTTGGAATAACGAAGACATTTCCACAAATTACATCTTTATTGTTCTCTGTGGAAGCGTCTATGTGATTCTTAATGATTCTAAGACTTTCCCCTGTTTCACACAAATTTTCTTTCAGTCCCTAGAAACTTGTTTTCTCTATAGATTTTCTTTTTGAGTTGTGATAGTTCATATGGATGCGTCTCTAGAAAGAACATGTTTTTTTTTTTTTATTGAAAGGACTTTTCTACAGACAATTGAGTCTACAAGTATTTCTTGTGGCGTGCTCTTGCTGGTGCTCTGGCGGTAAAACAACGACTGACTACGCGGGGTATTCCGGTAGATCCAACATGTCCGGTGTGTGGTTCAGATGCAGAGACCATTTGTCATGTTTTGTTTACATGTGACAAAGCCCAGAATGTATGGGAGCGCTCTGGTGTTCCAACACCCGTAGGTGGTTTTTCTCGAAACTCTACCTTTTTAAATCTGGTGCACCTAATCAAGTTT